GGGTTCCTGAGGCAGGAAAAGAGGCGACATGGAATGCCAGCCTAGCATCCCCTTGCACACATCTCTCTGCAGCAGTGGTGGTGTGGTGGGGTGGGGTGGGCAGAGCAGGTTGGGCACACCTGGGATGTGCATATTGTCATAGCGGATGTCCATCTCGTGCAGGCCAGCTTCGCTGGGTGCATAGCGCACAGTCACGGTGCCGTCCTTGTTGTCCGTGATGGCAGGCTGTGCCACCTTGCCTGAGGGCATCCGAACCTCTCCTGTAGAGCAGCAGGGCTGGGGTCAGGGCGGCTCGTCAGCATGCCCTGGCCTCCTCAGCTACCAAGCTCCTTCCCAGCCCCTACTCACCAGTGATCTCACCCTTCTTTATGGTGAAGGGAATAACCAGGTCAAAGGGCCTCAGGCTGGTCACATCCAGCCCATTGACACCTACCAGGGGCCTCTCTGGGGCCTGCAGTAGAGATAGAAGGTCCAGGTGAGGGGCTGTGGAGTACCTGGGAGCCCTCCCCACAGATGGCAACCCCAGTGTCCCCTTGGGCTGGACAAGCCAGGAGGCAGAGGGCCAGGCTGTACCCAGGTCTGCTGGCTGCCCTGGGTGCAGGTGTACTGTGGGGTCCGCTGCTGAGGCCGTAACGGGGGCTGCGCCGAGGGCTGGTCTCCAGCCAGAGCCTGCAGGGCAAAGCAAGGGAGCTGGAGACTGCCGCACAGAAGAGCCCAGGGGCCAGGCCAAGGCCTGACCGGACCCCTGCCCACCACCCCAGCCTGCTCCTCACCGTCACTTGGAAGGGGCTGTTGGGCACGTGCTCGCCGCCAAAGCGCACACAGATGACATATTTGCCCGGCTGGGGGGCTGTGTAGAAGATGTCAAAGGTGCCGTCCTCGTTCTCCACCACATCTACGTCTACCTCGGAGCCATCGGGGGTGCACACGGTGCAAGTCACCTTGCCTTTGCCTGCCGCCTTCGTGTCCACAGTGATGACAGTTTCCTCCCCAATCTGGATGGTGGGGCCGATGCCAGCACCTGGGGGGGCAGGACGAGTCCCCCATGGGGGTGCCAGCACATGAGCTGGGTGCCCAGGCTGCTCCTGTCTGCACAGCCAGGCCTCCCATCCCGCACCCTGAAGCTGGGATGGTGAGTGCTTTCTCAGAAGGCAGGAAGGGTTCTCCTGACCACCTCGAGCCCCCAGGGGAGAGGCCTAATGGCTGGCTCCCAGGAGCCGGGGAAGAAAAGGAAGGGCCCATCCCCACACAAGCGTGGACTGCCAACTCAGCCTTGGTGGGTGCCATGGCCTGCATAGACGGCTGGGGCTGGGCCCACAGCTGCCTGCACCCCTGCAGCCCCAGTGCTGTGTGTGGACGCGGTGAGGCGGAATCCTGCCACAGCGTGGGGGATGTTACACTGGCCTCCCTACCCCCACGCTGAAGGTGAAGCTGGAGCTTCCTGACCACTGAGAACACGCGCTCAACCAGAGGCTCACGGTGAGAGGCAGCCTGGCGCAGCCCGGCAGCGGCGGGGGGTGGGAGCAGGAGGCAGCAGGGTTAGCACCCAAGCAGCACAGCACAGCAGGCTTGGCAGAGCAGTGGCAGCAACCCGGGAACAGGGGACAGGAGGCCCAAAGCACAGCCACCGTCGCTGGGCAGAGCAGCTGAGCAGCCTCCAGGGTCCCAGAGTGCCCGAGGAAGGGGAGGGACAGTGACGTTATGATCTGGGGCTCAGGCGTGGAGGCTCTGGGCGCTGTGGGCTGTGAGGCCAGGCAGTGAGAGCACGCCTTGTAGCCCAGCTTCCCACCAGGGAAGCAGCCAGGAGCACCAAACCCACTGAAAGGCTGAGTTCAAGGGGCCTCCTACTGGCCAAGGGTTCATGCTGCACTAAGCTCTACATTAGGTCTACGCTGGCTTTCTGCAGCCCTGGCAGCTGGCCTGAACTCTAGGCCCAGCCACCTGCTGCCCCCAGCGCCCTGGGAGGCCTCATTCATGCGTGTCCCACACCAT